GCATAAAAAGACAATCGAAACTTATTCCCGTGCCGGTCGTAAGATCGAACATTGCAGCCGACCACACAGCAAGTACGAACCATGGCTATGCTTTCGCTCCTTACTTAGACCCCCAAAATGGCGGATCGGGCCAAAATCCTTTCCACGCCCACCCCCGTGACATCACGCTCCAAAGCCCTATTGTCAATTCAGTGGGCTGGTTTCAGTCATTATGCAAATGAACTATTTATAAGACTGGGGAAACCTGCAGTCAGCTGAGACTGAAGAAGTCACTTGGATGAGTGATGAAACGTTTCTCCCACTGAAATCGCTACATTCAGATGAACAGAATCAACTTTTGGGGTATCTTATTTTCATTCACATCAAATGAAACACATTTCCCTTCCGTCACATTTTCCTGAGAAACAGGGAGCATGGGAGTTAGCTGTACTCCCCGGAGTCCCACCCTGTTTGTCTGCAGCAGATCAGATTTGTGTGTCTAACCTTACTGCACAAGGAAATTACTTGTAATTGGCTACTTTCCAAACTCGTCCCACCTTTCTACATAACTTAACTAGTTCTGATTTAAACTTGCAGAATAAATTTCATTTTCCTTTTTATTCGTGACAAAAATCTCAATACATTTTGTCATAGTCTTTGTCCTTCTTTTTTAGTTTTCATTCAATTATCAACTTGTTTTCTTTAGAAAAGGCCGCTGATGAAAACTATGATAAAAATTAACTGGTTTATTAAATTGACATTGCTACCTACAAAGTGAAATATATTGTCATGAAACGCCGTGTGGCAGGCAGGAGATGAGGACTCAAAGTGCAGGACTCACAGACTCAAGGGATGAACTCAAAACCACAGCTTTATTTGCTGGTCACAGAAAAATGGGCATACAAGGTAAACTAAACTGGGAAACAACAAACTAAAACTCACAGGGAGATCCACACAGCAAGAGGGACGACGCGACACTGACTCAGAGAAACATAGGGTTTAGATACACTGGGAAGTAACGAGGGGAATGAGACACAAGAGGGCACAGCTGGGAGAAATCAGGACTGACGAGACAAGCACAGCAGGATGCATTCACATAAGACACGGCCCATCAAAGTAAAACAGGAAGTATCACACAGAGACGCAAACTTGACATGGTGGAGACAGCAACTAAGAAACACAGAGACATAAACCATAAGGCAGAGGACTCTAAGAACCAAAAGACACAGAGGGAAACTCAAACATGCAGACACAGACTTACACAGAACAGAGGGGACACAGAGAAACATGAAGGGCAAGGGATCGAAACTAGAAACCATAGAATAACTCACACAAGTACAATAATACAAAAATCACAAAGAACTAAACATGCTGGGTCAGGAGACCCAGGACCCTGACATATATTGTATGGACACTTGTTGTTTTGATGTTAATGCCAGAACAGGCTTGCACCTCTTCAGTTATTGAGTCGGCAGACAGCACAACTTTCTGCTGTTTAGTGGTGGTTCCTAAACACACCAGTTTGCAATAATGTCTCGTACGCTTAATCATGGAATATCTAGGGGGGAAGAAATTTTACAGATTGAGTAGTTGTAACTATGGGATCCTATCACAGTACCATACTTGAACTCGGTGAGCTCTTTCAAATAGCCCATTCTTTCACGAATATTTGTAAATGCATACTTTACCCATTTTTTTTGTCCATATAGAGTCTGTTGAATATGGATATTATGAAATCTGTGTCACTCACTCATTTAAATGGTGTGGTATTTCTCATCAACAAGTAAAAGCACTGGGCCTTGGTGAACATTGGGAGGGCGGATGAAGACCTTGTGTTGTTGAGATGAAGTGCACTGATGTTGACAGAGTAATCGAAACTAAAGCCTTGTTGTCAGAGTTGTGGGCCCAGATTGGACTGCTGCGTGAATCATAGTAATTGGCTCTTGTCTCAGTGGTGGAGAACAACATCCATTAACAGAGAGGATTTAGAGGGAGGAGGTGTTAGTTTGGCTTTAGCTTATGTTTGCAGCTTGAGAGGAAAACGATGAATATTTATGGGGCTGAATCTGTGTGTATATCTGTGAGATACGATTACGCCGTGCAGACCAACGACAATCTCGTAAAACTAAAATTTAATTTGTATTGTGTGTTGATTTCTTGGTTAGTAAATTGTTACTCCATATATTCAGTTTTACTGCCTTTAATCTGGGGTAGGCTCTGGGCTGTTTTCAGGCTTTAGACACACTGGTTTCCACTGTTTTCTCCAGACCAGATGAGATAACCAGCATAAAGACTAAGAAAGTATCGGGTGTTGCAAAGAGTTAAGTAGATTTTACTTGGGCCAGCAGGGTTTAAATTCAGGGTGAAACCAACATTGGGACTAGCTTAATTTTAGCACAAAGCCTCCTACTTGTCTGGTGGGAGAGACTGAGAACAGAAGGAGAGCTGTAGGAGATGGAAAGCTGTCTGTTTTCCAAATTCTGGCTTTTTTTTTGTTTGTTTTGTTTTTTTCTGCTCACCTCAGCTTCAATTAACTGTCAGAATTAAGTCTGTAAAAAAATCATTATCTACAAATAATGAGATGAAATAATATATACATAAACAAGCAAACAATCAAATGATCTTCTTCATCATTAGTGATGTGATGTTTTGATTGCAGGACATCATCTGTAAACCAAGGTTTCTTTTGACAACACCGATTCATCCACATCAGTATCCAGCCTGTAATGAGTCACTCAGGATGCCATTCATCTCCACAAGGCGACATGATTGCAACATTCATTTATCTATCGAGGCAGAATTACACCATTTACTCATCCAACTGGACATTATTAGACTGTTCATTCATCTAATATGAGGCCATTACAGCTGAAAGACCTGTTTCAACCCAGGGAACATTAAACCTGCTTCTCAATGATTAGACTCCACTCTGCCACTCATGTTGTTATACTCAGAGTCGATAGGATTGATGAATAGCTGTCGTATGAAACACTCATTAGATGTTAGCTTTTCAATTTTAAGGACTGTTTGCTTCTCCAAGTGTTGTCTGAAGGCATTAAAAGCCCCTCAGCCATACCGGATAAATCAAAATGCACAGCGATCAAGTTGAGAGCAACACAGCATGTCTTTGATCCTGAAAAGGCGATCATTTGAAGCTCCTCTCCTGCTGTTTATAACAATTCAGTGGTTTTTACACATGCTAAGAGATGTAGGCTGATCCATTTCCAATTGCATCTGATACTGTGATATCCTCAGCATGGTTTCTGTTGTTTATCTCTGTTATATGAATCACTCAGACGCGTCTTCGACTCCGAAGATGAGCTTAGAGACTGTAATCCAATCTCTTTTAAGATTTTGATTGGTTCAGTGAGAGACTGGAGATGAATGTGACAGGCATGTTCTGACATTAAACTTACAGCTGATAACACCTCCAAGCACTCTGTGGTATCTTAATGAGACAAATTAAAAAAAGTTTGCTTTAGCGAATAGTTACACAATTTGTGGAGCTCATGTCTGGGCAGCATGATGCACTGTTCAGACTAAAGGCAATCTCAAAACAAACATTCATTACACACATTGTTTTTTATTGTATAGTATGTTAGTTTATAATTCAATGGGGGAAATGATTATTAGTTTATCCCCTGTTTGTGAGTTTGCTCTCTTACAGAAAAATGAAGAGTCAGCAGTATTTATGGTAGTTTAATTTTAACCGAGAGGGACAGAATATCAACCAAAAATCCAGCAAAAAGCTATACATTGACTTGCATAAATAAATATTTGATCTCCTGCAACCGACTCTGAATTCTGACTCCTACAGATGAACGTCTAAATGACTCAGTAAAGTCTTGTAAGAAAGTGATGTGCTCTGATGAAACCAAAATTGAGCCCTTTAGCATGAACTCAACCCGCTGTACTTGGAGGAAGAGAAATGCTGAGTGTGACCTAAAAATTGCTATTCTTACATGCAAGCACACCAGAAAACAGAAAGCATAATGTTTCCAAGCGTACAGAATGACTTCACTGCATTGAGGGGACAACTTGCATTGTAAAATCTTCCCGCAGCCAGATCACTTAAGATGTGTCTTTAATAGGACTTCCAGCATAATCATGATCCAAAAAAAAAAAAAAAAAATACATCCAAGTCAATGAAGGAGTGGCTAAAGAAGACGCACATTAAGCTCATGAAGTGGCCTAGCACCTCTCTAGCTCACAATCCTATAGAAAATCTGCAGAGTGATCTGGAGCTTCAAGTTGCCAAGCAGCAGCCAAGAAACCCAAAGGATTTAGAGTTTCTGAGAGACTGGTCAAAATCCATTCTGATGTCCAATTATCAGAAGTTAAATCAGAAAAATAATCAGTAGTTAATGCGAGATTCTCTCAGGGCAAATTTAAACCATAGGAAACCAGAAAAACTCCCAAGAGGCTGAAAAGAAGAGCATAACAGTAGTGTCAGTCCCAAACAGTTGATTCTGTTCATCTGGACCTAACATTTTTAGTGGGAGAAGCATTTCATCACCCATCAGTGTATTTAGAAAAGCCGATGATACTCCACGTTTTACAGTTGGTCCAGAATCAGACCTGTTTGCATTACCCAATCAGTGGATTTTCCTCATGTGTTACAAAGATGATTACAACAGCTACACAGTATTAGATTATTTTGAGGAAACGCATGTAAATGTAAAGGAATACAAACATTAATGTTAAGTTAATATTTATTTCATCTAGGACTAACAACGCATATGCCAACAAAAGTGCAGTGAACTGAGAGTAATCATTCATTTGCTACATGATTTAGAAATACGATTTAAAGATACGTGATGGGTCACATATCGGTCATGATGCACACCTCTTCATAGTTTCCTTCATTTCCATTTCGTCTGCAGTGCAGAAGATATTGAAAGCACAAACATACAACCTCTTATGAATCTTTTTGACTATTTTGAACAACAAATTTTTCACAATATTTTGTATGAAGTTCTAACCTTGCATGTTTTTTCTGCTCTTTTTTTTATCGGTGACAGAGGTGTGTGACAGACCACTGGTCTCCAGCCTGCCTCCATCATCCTTCAGGAGCTCTTCACAGCTGTCCACCAGCCATGCGCCAGGCTTTGCCAAACTCAACAGAAGAGACGGTGAGGTTTTACTGTTGTTGGGGAGTGGGTCATTCACAGGTACCTGTTGTGTTTAATGAGTAGGACTTTGGCTGTGGATTTGTTTAAAGTGCTGGAGGTTCAAAATAATTGTGTTTCATGACCTAATTCTTGTATTTCACATGCTTTGTCAAAAACGTTTCCTTATGTATAGATAAATGGTAAATGAACCATGATGTTTTTCTTTGCTGTCTTGAAGATATGATGGGGCCCGATTATTCAAGATTTTGTGTTGGGGGAGAGTGGTCAGATTAGAGATTAAATCTGTTAAATCTTCTATGTAATCAGGAGATGCATGAAAAATGATGAAAGGGCTCATTTACATTTTGAGAAAAGCTAATCGAGTCTATTAATAAATAAAGTAAATACACTGAAGTTGTTCTTTTCAACCTCTACATGTCTGTTTAAATCACCCCCACTATAGTTAATATACCTGAACTGAGAAAGGCAGGATCGGCTGTGGAACAGCCTGGCTGTGTAGTGCAAGGCAGTGCAGGAGGCCATGGAGAAGCTCAAGAAGTTTGGTTTCTTTGTAAGGTTGTGGGACCGGCCAGTGGAGATGCAGGTTTCTTTTGGGAGCCTGGCTCAGTTGAATTTCCTGGAATGGTGCGATGGTGAGTGGAGTCCTGTTCATCCAGGATGCTGAATTTGTTGGGGCTCATTTCGACCACAACAACCAAACAGTTAAAACAGCAAAGGATTAAAGAGCAGGTAAACAGATTCACACGATAACACCTACATGCCGGCAGATACTGAAAGCCGACATCTCACAGATTCTAAAACTGCAGGTTTCGTTACTCTCCGACCAAAATTCACTGAACCAGCAGCATAAGATCAAAACTATGCTTCACGTTTGAAAAACATTGTCATGAATTTCCTGTTACTTTGGCTATTTTGCTTCCAACACAATAAAATCCCACTTCCTGCACAGCTCTCTCTGTGTACTTCAAGAACAGTTTCCCATCAAAAATCCCTATTCTGCATTATTTGCTTGCTTATTGTGCACCAGTCAAATGTTTGTACAGTGTTGTTGGGTGCTGTTTTTGTTTGTTGTTTTTTTGATGACCTCCAACAAGAAAGCAAATTTCCTGGCCAGGAAAATCTCCTTCATATTTTTTAGTGTTTTATCCTCAGTCACATTGACACAAAGGCGTCTGCTGTGACGCTTGCACCTCTGATGAAGTCTCACAAGTGTCAGCTTTGTTTTTATACCAAGTTTACACTGAGTATGTAATTGCAGAGAAATATTCATCTGAATACGTTTGAATTAAATATTTTTAATATACAAGGTGTGAAGGCTTATTTTGACACTACATATACAAAGACAAATGATCATAATTATAATATTTCTGAGTTAAAATTAAATTGAATTGAATCAAATCAGGACCTTGTGAAGCAGGATTGAATCAGTTGTAGAAATGATACCCAGCCCTACTGATAACTTACTGATAATCTCACTACAGATGAATACTGGCCAGGTTTTTCTAATCCTTATTATTTATTTTATTCAAGCACGTTTAAATATAGTGTGTACAACAATATTTTTTATTTACACACAGTAGTAGAAACTTGCTTGAGAGACAGAGAGTTAAATGTGCTTTAAAAACATAACATTTCTTAAATGTAAATGCAATGATGCAAATGATCTTGTGGATCTGTTTGTTGGTATGATGCTTCTTGAGTGGGGAATAGCATTTTAAAACAGAGGCATTGCTCTGCAGCTGTGGAGATCAGCTGAAGAAATACTTTTGTGAAGCTCTGGCCTCAAAGCACAAAACACCAAACAGGATTTTTTTCCTTACTTGATTTACTCAGACAAACAGACAGCCCACTGGTGACTAGTTTAGAGGTAGACAGAGGATCAGAATAATTTATAAGACGAGACAAAACAGAAGAATATGCACCAGTTGCTTTGTCTTTATTCTCTGTTGATGCCATTTGTATTGGATGCTGATACTAGAAGGATAGCTGTGTGGTGTTTGTTTGTCCAGCATGAAAACCCAGCAGGGAATCTTGTGTTGGATGCTGATGTGAAGCTTTGACAAAATGAAGATTGTGGTTTGTTGTGGAGCGTTCTGCAGGGAGCAGGCTTCAGTGTTTTATCCTGACATCAAAGCTCTAAATCAGCTGGGAGGGTGAGATGGGTTTAATCTGGATCTGAATGATTTCCACCACCTGGGAAACAAAGAATCCGAGCATGGAAAAATTGTGCTACAGCTGAAGTTGTTGCCAATTTGTTTTCCTGTCTTACAAGTCAACAACTTTGCTCTGAAATGTTGCTTAACTTTAGGTTAATGACAAATCAAGTTCTCTTTTCATTGTATTGCATAAATGATGGTTTGAAAAGTGTAGAGATTTTGGCAAGTCATAGAGCAAAGGTGACAAGAAGTTAAAATGAGGTAATAAATGCAGACACCCCGACAGTTTGGAAAATCAGCTGGAGATAGTGTTAATAAAATTTACTGGAGAACAAAGTGAAAAACTTAATGGGTTTAAAATCAAATCCAAATGGTAATACAACTCAAAAGAAGAAACATAAAGGCAACCAAGGATGGGTGAGCAGGTGGACAGCAAGGCTGACAGAGACAGGGGGAGGGAGACAAGATGATGTAGGGCTGACTGAGAAATAAAGGAAGGATAGAAGCAATTAGGATATCACAGGTGTGAATTACTTTCAAAATAAAATTCCTAATAAAAATTAGTACGGTTAGCACTGTTGCCTCACAGCAAGAAGGTCCTAAGTTTGACACCACCACCACCACTCCTTTCTGTGTTCTGAGTTTGCATGTTCTCCCCGTCTTTGTGTGGGTTCTGTCCAGGTCCCCTCAGTCCAAAGACATCCACTCAGTAACTGTTGGATCTAAACTGGCGATAGGTGTGAATGTGAGTGTGAATGGTCTCTCTCTGTATTAGCCCTGCGTCGGATTGGCGAAATGTCCAGGGTATACACTGCAGTGTTCAAGATCACAGGCAGAAAAAGTAAAATAGGAACTAGAAACAGTGACTCTCAAGATGAAAGACAATCTAGAATGGAAAAAAAGATCTACCGCCTTATATTTTTTATTTTCCTCAATGTGATTAAGTATATCAGTTTACCATTACCATAAAAAGACCAAACTTAAATTAGTAATGGATACCATTTACTTGCTACAGTTTCCCAAGTCTGCTATTGTGCTTTTTGGCACACTGTCACACTGCTACGACTTACTGGCATCCTTACATAGAGCATAATTTTGGTTAATGAACTGCCTGTGCTTTTCCTGCTATTGGCATGTTCTGAAAAAGGCCTTTTCCCCCCCACTATGTTGTTCTTATTGGTGGTAGTGGAAGTGATGTCACTGACTTTTGACTGATTTGTGAAAAAAGACTGCAGGAGGTAAACAGCAATCAAAGGACTTTTTTTCAGTTTTTGTGGCCGGAGCTATTTGTGAGTTTATTCTGGGATGAAATTAGGGTGTAATTTGACCGGGTCTACACGTCCCTGCTTCTTCTAAAGGATTTTTTTTAAGCCCGGTGGGGATAAAAATGTATCCCCCTCTGATTTTAACATCCTGAAACACTCTGCAGTACAAAGACATTGACTTTCACTTCCAGAACTTGTGATCCTGTGACTGCAAACAGGACACTGTTGGGAGGATGATCTGTTTCCTATTCCATTCATCTTTGATTATGCCACCATTATACCACTGCTGTTTCAATGTGAAAACTACCACTAACTAAATAAAAGAAAAAAAGAATTTTGTATATCAGATTTTACAACAGACTCACAAAAAAAATCCATCCATCCATTCGCTTCCGCTTATCCTTTTCAGGGTCGCGGGGGGCGCTGGAGCCTATCCCAGCTGTCATAGGGCGAGAGGCGGGGTACACCCTGGACAGGTCACCAGTCTGTCGCAGGGCCAACACACAGAGACAGACAACCAGTTGCACTCACATTCACTCCCGCATTCACACCTATGGGCAATTTAGATTGTTCAATTAACCTATCCCAACAAAAAAGAAATCCAAAACACAAAATAAAAACTTGAATGACTACCGACAACGAACCACATATTTGATTTTATAGACTACATCAGCTTCCCTACCGCCTTTTATTTCAACTTGTTAAATTGCACTGCAATTTAACAGCAGTAAGGGTGCTGTTTGCAACATCCTGCTTTTTATGAAGGGCATCTCTGAAGAAGTGTTAAGGACATGGTTTGTTGGCTTGACAAGTGATGAAGCAGCAGCTGTAATGAGCCAATAGAGAGAAGCACCCACATTTCTGTGTGTGGGAAGAATCCACCATAATCCCACTGTCATTCACTGCATCATTCATAGTTAGAACCTGTGGCCCATGATGCTGTAAAACACATTAGAGTTGATATGATCTGTGCCTTAATGTAACCAAGTAGTTGTTTTTGCACAAACCTAACCAAATAAGAACTCTACATATTTGTCCTTTTTCATTCAATGTGGCGCCTTCTCCAGGGTCACAGCCTTGGTAATTATGCCAATAACTCCACGTCATCAATTTTAATCTATAATAGACATATATTTAATATTTACACTAACTCTTTAATGTTTAAAACTTCACTTTTGAATTCAAAGCTAAAGTACTTTCAGGACATGAGTGTGTTCTACTCGTTCAGTGCCAAAATGCAGACAGACTAACTTAACAACTTGTTTTGAGCACAGCTTAGAATTTAGCCAAGGAAAAGCCACTCTACATGCTAATAATTTATCAGTATTGCTCCCTCAAGCGGCCAGATTCTTGATTAATTAAAAATGATAATTAATGAGAAATTCAGTGCCATGAACGTCAGGTCATACACGATACTCGTGGATCATAACTGTAAAAAATAATCAGTAAAAATCACGTCAAGTTGCAAAAACGCAGACATTAGGAGTAGGAGGGTAATGAATGGCCACTGTGCTGCTGATGGCTTCATAAATCAGGTTCAGCTGTCATTCTACTACTGCATTTTTCAAATCAAGTTGTA